CCCCCCACCCCCACCCCAGCACCCAGGCGGCCCACCTTCCGACATGGCCAGCTCGCTGGGTGGTGGCTGCGCAGTTCCGGAGGCAATGGAGTCAGGCCAAAACCTCTGGACCGGTCTGTTCTGAGCAGTTTTCTTCTTAGTTTTTGGAGTTTCTGAACAGCTAGAATCCAACATGGGCTGAAGAATCCGTCTTCTGGCATTGATGAACCTGGGCATTGAGGGCAACACAGGGACCCGGTCACCAGGCCGGCCCTCCTCTAGCCCTCCCGCTGAGCACGGCCCCCACCGCCCTGGGCGCCTCGCCCCCTCACCCAGCGAACAGCGAGCCCACACAACCCTGCAATCCCGTCCCTCCCGGGCCTCGGGGTGCAGACGGTGCCTGATGCCACTCGTGGTCACCCCCACGCGCGCGGCTCTGGAACCCAAGCTGCGGCCCTCGACACCGCCCCAGGTGACGGGCTAGTTACGGAGGGGCCCCTGTCCTAAACCCCTCAGCTGTGCCAGCGCTGCAACAGTGGCCCCAGCAGCCCAGGCAGGGACGGGCAGCAGCGGCGGGGACCTGACCCCGCACCAGCAGAGCGGCGGGAACACGCTTCATGGACGTTAAGTATGTGCACGGAAAGCCTGCCTTCTTCAGCTCGCACCCTCCTGGCACCCAGCCGGTGCCCTCGGACCTGGGAAGGCAGCGGAGCTCCGGTCCACCGCCCCCGCCTGCCAGAAGCCCACGGCTGTTCGGACTGCACACTCGGATGCAGTCACGGCTACACCTGCCACGCCTAGGGGCACTTCCGCTTCCCCCTCTAGGAGTACGAGGGAGGAGGGGGTTCACCTCTCGCCGGAGCCAAGCCTGCTCACCTCTGCAAGTGGGGCCCTGATGAGAGCGAGGAGCCGTGTTCAGGGTGTAAGAGAAACACAGGCTCCTCGGGAGACTCGGGCTCTAGGCTGGTCCTGGCAGTGTGCCCCCCACGCCCCACTCTCCATGCCCCCCCATGCAGAGCAGAACTGGGATGCATCTGCTCCCAGGCCACTTAACATTAGCGTCCTGACACTCACGGGGCACCTGGCTGGCCCAGCTGGAGTGTGCCACTCATCTCCACCGAGAACGAGCCCGACGTTGGGTGCAGAGATGACTTAAATAAAGTTTAAAAAATAAAATGAAATCCTGGCATTCAGAAGCATCTTCAAGTGCAAGAGGACACATTCTCCGATGGAAACGAGGGGACTGAAGCCACAGAGCTCTAGGCAATGATCTGGTCCCGGGAGCACAAGCAAGGCGGGCACTGGAAGTCACCGGGGAGCCCTGGCGGCCCCCAGCTCGTCACTGACCCTGCCACTGCCTGGGAAGGGAAGCCCGCTGCTGCTTCTCAGCATGTGCCTCTTCAGCCTCCACGTTCAATGCTGCTAGGTGGTGGGGTGCAAGCTAATGGGGTGCTCAAGCTCAGGCCAACATGTGATTTTTGTAAACGTAGAAGGAAAGTCACAAAAAGTAGAAGTAGCTACAAATACGAAAAGTTTTTAGAAATTTCATGCTAGTCATGCTAGTAAACTGCTATTAATGTAAAAATTAAAAGCTGATGTCAAACCTTCCAGATCAGACAATTCTGTTAACTTAATAGAGCAGCAAGTTAGGGAGCTCGAGGAAGTCGAAAGATGAAGGAAAGCAAGAAGGCTGAGCAGCAACAAAAGCATCAGAATGTCCGAAGAAGTGACCCTAACGTCCACCCCCAATCAATCAATCGACCATCCTTAGGGCTAAACCCAGACCGGAAGCGTCACACGAGAAACATGAGGAAACCGAGGGTACTGGGCCATCGCAAATGTCGCAGCAACAACATAGGTAAAACCTTTGTTTTCGCTAACCCTATTTAAGAGATTTAACAGGAAATAACTCAAAGAGCCTGGTCTATATTATTGGCACCCAAAACAATGGCCCAAATGCAAGATAACAAGTATTTAGTGCAACCCAAAGCATACCTCCTACATATACGGCTGCGTATGTTGGGAGATTTTGTCATTTATATGGGAACTTACCTGACCTTGCTCAAGTTTAAATTCTAACAGTTAAAAAGGCAACAGTGTTTACAAGTGGTAGAATTTGTGCTTTCTTTTATGGATGCCCATTTTACAAGCCGAACCTGTTTCCCACGTCGGAGTGAGTGCCAATGAGACAGATGACTGACACAAGTGGAAGTGCGCCCCTCGGCATTAACGCCCTGCGTCGTGGTGAACAGCTGTGATCTCAGGGGAACGCACGTGCTCGGGGTCCCAGCGTCCACAGTAGTATGCGATACCGACATTACAACAGGATATTTCACTTGATAAAGTCAACACTGCCCCAGGCATTTCCCTCTTAGGACCCCGACTCCTGCTGAGGGGCTGCCTCCCCCACTCAGAGTTGACCAAAGTGACACAAGGTTTCCAAAGGAGGGGGAGAGCTGCAGGGGAGGGCCACCAGAGGTCAAGATGCCTCATCACCACCATGCACCACCCAGGGAAGCTCATCGACAAAAACATCATGTTTCTGAATGAATGTGGGGGCTTAGGTGTAGTAGTAACACAATGGAGAAACATTTTCTTTTTTTGAGAGTGTGTGTGCAGGTGCAAGCAGTGTGGGGGAGGGGCAGGCAGAGGGAGACAGAGAATCCCAGGCAGACTCTATGCCCAGTGCAGAGCCCGACGCAGGGCTCGATCTCATGACCCCGAGGATCATGACCTGAGCCAAAATCAAGAGTTAGACGCTTAACCAACTAAGCCAACCAGATGCCCCTGGAGAAACACATTTCTGACTGGACAAGCAGGATGTAGACGAAAAGTGAGCATTAAATGTTTAAGTTGGAAGTGTGTGTTGATTTATTCTCAAATATCCTGCCACCAATTATCCAGTACTCTGATAACACAGTGTCGCTAGTTAAAAGGACTCAGATACTTTCAACCGGATCCCACTACTTATTAGTGTGTTTTCGAGGGCTCTGTCGTGCCGACGGCACAATTTCAGAGAGCAGGCGCATCTTACCAGTTGTTAACTTGGAGTAGAGTCAAATTTGTCTGAGCAGCAATCTGTTTTTTCTCATCTTCTGTCGGGTAGGGATGCTAAAAATAAAAAGAAGGGTTAGCATGAACTTCAGTTCTGAAAAAGGCACTCCAGCTTGTCTAGGTAGAACAGAAACAAACAAATAATCCTCAGTAAAAAACGCATTAGTAGCAATAGTGCTTCCTGCCAAAACCTCTTTAGTCTTATAATCTCTTTTTAGAAATGTCCCAAACAGAAGGAAGTCTTTCTCCGCGCCGTTCGAGAACACGGCCGGTGAAGTGCAGGCGAAGGCGTGGTTAGGCCGAGCAAGAAGGCCCAAAGGGGAGGCGAGGGCCAAGCCCGCCGGGAGCCGCTGCCTGCCGCGGAGCCGCGCTCTGCTGACCTGTCATTTAGGGACAACTTCACCGAGGCCAAGTTACGAGCCATACACTGGGGACAGCACAGGTACCACGCTGCACGTCCTACAGTAAATCCCTGATGCTCACACTCACTTCTGTCCTACAGATGAGGAAGCCAAGGCCAGAGGGTACACACACTCCCCATCCTCCAGCTGGGCAACAAGGGGGATGCAGGGAAGGGGCAGGGCGGGCTGCTCCCAGCCTGACACACGGGGCAACACGCTTCTGTCACAGGCACTGAGAGAGGACGGGGACACGGGCGTGCGCGGATGGCTTTTCGGGACCCGCCCCGGGCGAGGTCACTGTATGTGGTCTGTGAAGAGCCGAGCCCAGGGCTGGGGGTGGGAATGCCTGTTATATTGCTCTTTTCTTCTATGATGAAAACATTCCACTTTAAAAAACAGAATTAAACCAGAAGGTACATATCAAAATTGACAGAAGCACCAAAGGAAATCACCTCTATCTACAGTAATAAGCGGTTTCTCCGTGGCTGATTACGGTCCACGTGTAGAAACCAGTAAGACAATGCCTCAAAAACCTACGTGCAACGAAGTCCCTTATTTTGGACTGCCCGGGACCCCAGAGAACACGGTGGGGGGCAGGAGATACCGTAACACTCAGCGTATGGGAAAGTTGCTGCACACTACGGTGACCCCGGTGACCACAGCGTCGTGCCACACTGGCCTCCCCAGCAGCGTCTGTTCCTTCGGACAGCGACTTGGGGTGACGCCACCGCATATGGCCCCGAGGTAGAGATTACGGAAATGCGAATACTGTGCCTGCCATTTAAAAGCTCATAAAATAAAAGGGGACAGGAAACCCAGTGCACTAACCAGGAAAAACCCCATCGTGCGGCAGTAACTGTCCTCCTCCCGTGTTAGGAAGGCTGCAGGAGAGGACTGTGTTTCAAAGAAACAAGGGCCAAAGAAGGCAGAAAATGCCTCATAGGGAAAAAAAAATAAGGAACGTTTTACTTCAACCTACGAGCAGGGTTTACTGCTTTAAGAACTATGAAGACACGAAAGGGCACCGGGAGGACGATGGCCGTCCTATACTGGTCTGTGCTTCTACAGCGTGGACACGCACGTGGCGGGGCCATCCCAGGGGACAGCAGTGGGGGAGCCTGCTGTCTCACTCGCCACCCCCTGCCTGGGTCTGCCGAGCGCCCCGGCCCTCGTGTACCATGGGAACCAGCTGGGTAACGTCCCAGCAAACACACCAAGTCTTCCCACCACGAGAATGAACAGCGCTGAACCATGGTGTCCGTAACGCCTTTCCCTTTCAGGACAACTTTCCGGAAGCGGCCGCACCGCTCAGAGCGGCACTGTTCTCCCCGACTCATGCTGCTGTGTCCTGCACGCGGGGACAGCTCAGCAGGGCAGAAGAGGAGAGAAGCTGGGGGTCCTAGCGCTCCAGGAGGGCTGGCCAGGAAAGGGAGAGGGGTCCTGCTCAGTGACATCACGTGCCGGTTCCAAGCCTGGAGTCGGTGGCTACCTCGGACTGCTGTCTCTCGGGGAAGGAGCCTGGCGCCAGTTAGAGAAAAGGGGGTGCCGGTCGGCAGTGACAAGGGCTAAAGCCCAGAAGACAGGGGATGACGGAGACTGGTGCCGGCCCCGGGGCTCAGAGTCAGGGCGAGGACGGAGACCGGCGCCAGGAGCACACGCAGGCCTCGGGCCCAGGCAGCGGGCCTCCCCAAGGGTGCATGCAGAGAAAGGGCACGAGGACACCCCGCTGACAGCCACGGGGCACCGGGATGCAGATGAGCAAGGCGGCCTGCGGAGGGAGCGGTCAGCTACCAGAGACACGAGTGGGGGCCAGGGGCAGGGAGGCAAAGGGGCAGAGCCGGCTGACGCAGCACAGAAGTCGGGAATAGCAGGCGGAAAGCTCCGGCCGCAAAGCTGGTTCCCGAGGCTGCCGGGCAGCTCCCCGCCGGACCCTGCCGGACCTCCTGACCTTCCGTCCCTCCGGGCACCGAAAGGCCTCTGCGTCTGTGCCCACACCCCTGCAGGCTCCTCGTCCACCTGGACAGGGCCGTACGCAGCAGACAGTAGCCACATTCCTGCCTCTGTCTCACCACACGCTCCCCTGCAAGCCAACCTGGTCAGTCCTGACCCTGGCCACTAGCCTGGGCTGCCGCCCCTGAAAGCTGCTCTGGGTCACATGCCTCCCCCAAGTTCAGTGGCAGGAGGACTGAGGGTCTCAGCTGGGCAATAAGCAAGTCTTGCCCAGTAAATGGACGAGCAAGTGTGTGCTCCCTAAGACGGGACATGTTCACAGAGAGGGTGTGGCCATGACCCAGGTGAGTGAACAGGTGTGCAGACACTGTGTGCATGGGCCGCTGCTGTCTGCAGGGCAAACGCCGTCTCAAGTTCAACAAGCTCACGTGCTGACCCCTCTGTCCACAGTTCCATCTTCGACCTTACCATATCTTCCTCTCAAATCCAGTATCTAAAACGTCACTAGCTCCCCAGGTTTTTCCCGAATTCCTCTTCTCTCTGCCCACTTCTCGAACCTCACCACACTGGGTCACCCTCCGTGGCACGTAGGTGATTAGCATGAGCGGAAGGCACTCCCTTGTCAGCAGCAGGGCCCTCCTGGTTAAGTCCCTGAGGCAGAGACCTCCAGAGTGTGGTCACCCTCCTCTGTCCCACGTTCCACCCTAACATTGAGACAGTCAATGACACTGACACTCAACACCAGGCCTCCAGCACAGACAGTACATTTTTTCCAGAAAGGAAGCCAGCAAGCAAGCGTCTCAGGGCGCTGTTGACTGTGGAATCACTTGCGTTCTTACCCCTATGTGCTGAAAGAGCCAAGATCTCATCACATTGGTAGCGTGCTTCGGCAGAACGCCCCTTTTATTCTTAGATGAGCCATCATCTTGATGCAAGATGCTTAGATCTTGGTTTAACTGTAACTGAAGCTTTTAAACAATTGAAAAATAACGTTAGAAGGCACAGGAAATTATGACACAGGCAAGTAGTTTACGACTTCTGATGGAGAAAATAACCACAGGTCTTACGGAGAAAGGACATATGGCAGCGGAGACGTGTGTGCTGGGCCCCACAGGCTCACCTGTCGGGGGGCTCCCTCTGCATTCTCACTATTGACACCGCTGTCTCGCGGGCAGTGGCCCCTCGTCCGGCAGGTGAGACAGGAGCCCAGAGGGCCTTGGGGCCGCTGCCCTGCAGACATGTGAGGCCCACGGCCCTCTCGCCCACCACTCGTGTTCACCTCGCACCCTCTAGTCATGGACGTGACAGCACCCGCTCTCCTAGCCTAGAGAGTCCAAGCGATCAGCAAGAACGGGCAGGAAGGCAGAAGCGCCGCTGACGAGAGGCGGCCACGTGGGCTGAACAGAGGGGAGAGACACAGAGGCACGCACAGTGCAGACACGGGGCTCACAGAGCAAAGGGGCCAAGGCACCTGCCTCTGGCCCAGAAGCCTCCGGAGCCACCACAGACACGGCCTCCCTCGCCCCTGAGGACAGCATGGACACGTTCTGCCCACTCCCTTTCCACAGGAAAGGATGCGCGTAACACTTCTTACGGGACTGTCTTTCACACAAATGTAAGAAAGATGTGATGTCCGTAAGGCCAGGTCTCAGCCCCATAGGCCCAGCCTCCCTGTGCAGAGGTGTGGTCAGCGCTCACGACCCGGGCCAGGAAGAACCCCACCGCAGCTCCGCAGGGCCTCTGCACAGACCCGTCGGGGACATCCCTGCTGTTGTGCATGCGTGAACGCAGAACTTACGCAGGAATCCGACTTTATAGAGGAAAGAGCATCACCTTCAGTGTAATGTATCCAGACACCCTTCTAAGGGTTTGGAACGTGATTCTGGAGGTCACTGTATTATCTGTACTTCCTCTGGCCTGACATCATTTCAGATGTATGCTTTAAAAGCCTCAACAACAACATCGCAACAACACAATCCATGACTTACAGGGAACATCAAGCCACTAGTCGTATCTAACATTTCTTAAAAGTCAGGATTATTATTAAGGGTGTGAGTGTTTTTTGAAATGAATTTCTTTGTTAAAGGACTGAAAGCAAACAGTATTAAGCACCCTCTCTATGCTCGTGTTTGTGTTTACCGGAAAAAGAAGAGGAAATGAACTTTTAATACTAGCTCCAAAGCACCAGGGCCAAAATGTAGCTCATCTGTCTTATTTGTCTCAATTAATATATGATGTTCTTCATGAAATTTGACATACGCCCAGTGTTGCTTTCTTCGTGCAGGGTTAAAGCAAATGCAGGCTCAAAAGTAGGCGAAGTGACAGCTAGCCGTATGACTCGACCTCACAGATGCTACCAAGGGGCCTGAGTGCCCACAGGGCTGCGTCAGGAAAGCAAGCCGAGGCCTCTGCACGGAACGGCCGCTGGCCCTGCTGAGCTCTAGCCCCATCGGGGGCTGGACAAGCGGGGGGTTTAAAAGCCTGGGAAACTGGCTGGAAGTCTGTTTAAGAAGCAGTGAGACCCCCCCACACACCCTCCCCATCATTCTCTGCAGATGACTGATCTGCCCCCTGCCCTGCAGGAGACTGGGGCACACTGAGCAAGCTGGACAGCGGAAGTGAGGGGCAAGGCCAGAAAGAGGGGTAAGGAAAGTCTACACGCAAAATGGGAGACCCCAGCCCACTCTCGCCCTCGCAACCAGGCCTATGCCCCAGGCAAGAAGTCTGAGAGTCCTTCTCTGGAGACACTGAGTGGAGGAAACACTCCAGAGGCCAGCCCGCGGAGAAGCCGGCTTGCTGTGGCCCGTACCTGCCACACACCCAACAGCTTTCTGGCAGCTCATGCTGACAGGTCCGAGGACAGCCAACTGTCCCCAAACATCCGAAGGCCTCCATCACAAAGAGCAGACACCAGAGTGAATAAACGCTGAGATGCAGAGGGAACAGAGAGAAGGCTTCAACCACCCATGAAGCAAAAACGGGAGCTACTTCAAGAGAAAGCACAGAGGGCATGGAAGAGTCTAAGAAATCCAAACTGAGGAACGCCTGGATGGCTCAGTCGTTAAGCGTCTGCCTTCGGCTCAGGTCATGATCCCAGGGTCCTGGGATCAAGCCCCGCATCGGGCTCCTTGCTCGGCAGGGAGTCTGCTTCTCCCTCTGACTCTCCTCCCTCTCATGCTCTCTATCTCTCATTCTCTCTCTCTCAAATAAATAAATAAAATCTTTAAAAAAAAAAAAAAAGAGCATTCCTCAGCTATGTTAAAGCCATCAGTGGCTTTTGCAGGCTGAAGTTTTGGGTTCATTTAAATGACATAAGAAATGGAAACATCTGTGCAAGATAATGCCTTCTAAATACTATCTGTACATAAAATACTAAATTGTTCAACCAAGCCACACAAAGTAGCTCTTTACAGACTGACTGTGGGAGAGGTGGGAGAGCCGCTGCTGGGAGGAAGCTGGCCCGGGGCCCGGCTGCTGGGGACAGTGGACTGCTGGGAGGAAGCTGGCCGCAGGCCCGCTTCCAAGACCAGCATTCATCTCCTCGTCACGGGGGCTTAGATGCCACAGTTCTGCAGCTTTGCAAATTTTAGTTTAAAAATGGTACGGAGATCTTAGATCTTAGTGAAGACAAGAGGATCTCATTGTAAAAGGGCAAAAATCATTTGTGCTAAGAATTTCGTCCCAGAGTGCCTATAAGCACAGCATAGGGGTTAAACATAACATACATTATTGCTGACTTCTGCATAACAGAACAAAATGCAAAACATTAATCTAAATATATTTCTTATTCTCAGGATTTGCTAGATCACTACTTATTTACTTATCTCTCTAGATAGATGAGTAGAATTGCATTAGTTATAAATATTATTTTTGAGCTAGAATAAACCTTATAAACCAATTTCTTCCTTTTACGAACAAAGCACTTGAAGCCTAAAGGGGTCAAAGACTGGGCCAAGGTCTCACCTGGTTAAAATTCTGACCTAGAGGAGCTGGAGAGACGACACACAGGCTCCATTTTCCCTCCAAACAGAACATTTTCTGAAACAATATACTTTGGAGCCAGCTCTCCTCATCGCCTGCAAGATTTACAATTTCAGATGTACTTTTTAAAAAAATACTTAAGTCTGCTTACTTTGGCCTCTAAGGATAAACAGTTTGGAGGGAGTTAAAACACACTGGACTACAAAGAAAAAACTCTCTGAAATTGATTTAATGCAGCTCTTCAACGAGTCCAGAAGGACCTTGGGCATTACTTTACAACATGCACCATGGAAGGCAATACCTCACTGATGAATCATTTTCTCATTACTATCAAAATAATTAGGTTTATGATAAACTACAATAAAAAACAAACAGAAACTTTCCAATTTTTTTTCCCGGAATACCAATGACTAATTGAAGAAAGTAATTTGAGGAAAGAGTCCTGAAAATGCAAATGGACCTGAGTGTCCAGTGCAGTACAAGCCTAACTCTTCAACAAAGTGCAGGGCTCACTACGAGCCCCATACCACCAGCAAAACCTGTCAACGATTGGAATGTTCTACTTAAGATGGAAAAGCAGCTTGCGGTGACCTCCGCTTTAGAAAATAAAACATCCATAAAGCATGTTTCTATTTTTAATTTTTTTGCTTTGATAAATCAATTGCTTCACAAAAATCCCTTTTAAAGACAACAATCCAAGAAAACAATATGGTTACAGTATTCACATTTTAAAGATTGTCAGTTCATAGACCAAACAGAACTAAAACGAAGGCAGATTGCGGAGTTATTTCTGTCACCAACTGCCAGAGACGGGCCTTCTCCCCCCGTCCGGGTATGTTCGAGTCTGCCTAGAAGGAGCGCACCCTGACGCTCGCTCCCACAGGGAAGGACTGGACCGGCCGATGACGGGCCGCGCGGAAAAGGCCCCTGCGCCCCGGGGGTGCGGGGTGTTCGCAGCCCCGCTCCTGCGGTCTGGGTGCGAGCCGGCGCCGCTGGCTGCCCACCCGCCCCGCCCCCCCCACTCTGCACCCGGGACAAACACTGAACTTACTCGACTAGCTGCAGTCAGGATGCTGCAGGCGCGGTCGGCCATCGGCTACCTGCTCAACAGCGCGACAGCAGGGACAGCATGTTTGGTCTGGGTCTCAGGACGCATCCAAAGCATCCTTCTTGGGAGAGTCAGGACCGAGTCTGCTCACAGAAACTGGACGTCGATGCGGTCCCCTTTGCAAAGATTCTCTGGAATGCCCGAGGGCTGGAAATGGGGGGTTTTTATAAAAGGCAGACAGACAACAAATATGCTGGGCGGCGGTTCCCTGAACCGAAACAGCTTGGTGTGCCACGCTGCGTGCGAGTACCTGTGGTCCCCAGGCCAGCCCGGACGCACCTCTGAGTGGCTCATCCTGATGCTCTGAAGCCAGTGAGAACTGAGAGCCTAAGAAAACCGGCCTCAGCCCCAGGGAGCACGTGGTGTCACTGGGCATGGAAGGCCGAGTCTCAGGCCAGCGCGGGGGGGGGGGGGGGAGGAGGACCCTGTGCGGCCCCCCCGCCTCCACACTGACGAGGTCTGTGTAGCCCTCGCGACCCCCGGGCGGGGAGGGAGATGGTGACCGGCTGGGAGTCCACACTGGGAGAACATCTGCACTCGGCCAAAGAGCAGGGGCGGCTAGGAGGGCCTGGGGATGGAGGAAGCCGGCTGGCTGGCCTCCACAGGTCCTAACTTCAAGAAGTCCAACAATGTCAGAGTTTAGGTCAAGTTAAAATGATCTTTTAAACTTGAGTAGACTTACTAAAAATATTACAAATCGTTTATAAATAAGGAATGTAACTGCTGCTTAAAAATGTGATTCTCTTGCCAAGAGCTGATAGTCAAGTTTTTTTCTAAAGTTCCTGAAATATTTTAAGAGAAATTTCCATGTATTTCTAACTGCCTTCTAAGTTATCTAGGAAATAATACTCTTCTGTGATTAACTTGAATCAATAAATT